AGATATCTCATGAAATAAAACTCAGACTGTAAAAACATTAAGAGCAGTTAGTACAATCAGTAAAATCAGGGGGTCACAATTCATTCACAGGAGAAAGTTCTACCTCTTACACTGCCTAGACTTACTAACTGCACTTGTCCTCTGGCACCTCATTACTGAGTTTAGACCAGACAGATATGCTTAAGAGGTGCAATACTTTAAGGGACTTTTCACAGACACAGAGATTGAACACCACCCAGTCCCAATACTAAATTCAATTCTCCAGCCAGCACTAATCCATTCTATAAAAATATCAGTGCCATGTTCCAGAAGTTTTGTTCTCCACTAAGTTTGTTACTTGAGAACTCCTACAGTCACTATCAGTGATACTTTCCTCAATGCTCTTTTGAGTACAGACACAAAATCTAGCATCTTGCAAAGAGGTCTGGATCTCATACACCAATAAGAACATTCCAAACCTTGCAACAGGAAAAAGAATAATGGTTATATTGAATAACACCTTCAATTACTAAGATACCTGTGAATTAATTAAGTTTTCAGCATTCACTGTCACAGCGGGATTAATACCATGACAAGTAATCTGTAAACCTTGTTTGAGCAAGAGTATCCCTCCCTAAATAATTACCAGCTTCACAATGAGCAGTGGTCCTTGTCAGAGATGACAGATCTTCACTATTTACCTTCAAATTTGCTAGGAAGAAGGGGTTATAGACTCACATTAAGTTCTGTACATAAGGTTGTAAATGGCAGTTCCTCACTCAGATGCCAAGAGGATCAGAGCTGCACGTTCAGTAGAAAGTTCCAGAACATCCCCCAAAACACCCAACACCCCACAAAACAAAACTGAAACAAACCCAACCAAACAAAAAAACAAGGAGTCATGACTGAACATAGTTTATTTTTTGACTGGCATCAAATACTGTGAGATAAGAAGTACTGAGGGTTACCTGGCCAGAGGGGAAAAAAACTAGAGGATTGATTTATGAACAAGCACAGGCTTTTGTGTTCCTCAGCAGAGATGAAACTACCATATTCAGTATCTACCAATGTTTTCTAAGACAAGAACATCACCAGTTAGGCAGCTCTTCAAAACACAGGAAACGATTTGTGCATTCCCTCTAATGAAACAAGACACCACATCTGAGAGGCTAAACTTGAGTCAAAATTTCCATCCCAGATAAAGGTAAAGGCACGTCCAAATTCTGTCTCCACAACCACAATATGCCAAAGTAGCTGGAGCAAAGCCAGCTGCCCAGCTAGCATTCTTGCCATGGGGACAAAGTTGTATCACCACCTTCTAAGCAACTGATCATACTCTGCACACATTAAGTCTCTGATGGGACAATGTACAGTTAATATGAAGATTAATGAAGTTAAGGCAAAAGCCAGAATGATCTAGATTTGCAAAACTTAAGCAGAGCTTGAGTATTTCTGCTTGTAGCTCCTGAAGGGGAACCAATCTCAAGAGCAGCCATTTAAAGAGAGCACCCTACTCTCCCAGAGTACAACCCTAGATCAAAAATCAGCATTAAAAGCTGTTAAAAGCTGGTGAAAAACATTTTCTGATCAACACTGTATGTCTCCTGATGAAGTTTTCTCCTGTCACAAACTAAAAACTTTCACTGTTTGAAGGAGATACTGAAATCTCACCATTTCCAATGCATAGACAAAAAAAAAAAAAAGAAAAAGAAAAAAATAAAAAAGCAAAAAAAGCACTGTTTTGAGCAAACAAGGCTGTTTACCAGAGAAATTTTCAAGCATTACTTTACATAGAGCTGTCCTATCAAATTCACTGTTTCACTTCTGGCACCTATCACTGCAAAGATTATGCTTATCACCTCTTCTAACCGACCAAGGCAAGACAGCTGCTCTAGAAATAGTTACAGCTGTTACTGCTGCTTACCTGGAAGCTACTGAACTCTCTCCCCCACAACTGACTGACATTAAACAAACCCCTGGGGTACAAAAAACCAAACAACAACAACAAAACACACAAAAAAGCGGACTACTTTGAACTACTTCTGAAGAAGAGTGTTTCCTTCGAAACGCATTGGAGACCACAGTTTCTGCAGAATTTACTGTTGCATTAATTGAGGACGGTCAGTCAGTTTTGAGGCTCCAACCAAACAATCACAAACACCAATTTAGGGACTGTTCTGTACCCACCTGCAAGAGCTCATCTGTCTACTCTCAGAACTGCTTTTCCTAAGGCTACATCTGAACTGCTATTCAGGCTAACCTAGATGCTTAAAATTACAATTTATCAACTGTCATATTCCAGATTATTTTGAAACCAGCTAGTTTTACATTAGATTGCATGAATTGACAGCAGCACAGTTCCACTTCACAGTAATACAGGCAGCCTATCTTTACCTTCCACACTTTCTCTTTACATCATGTGTTTACCCAGTTTTGCTTCTGGTGTTACTATGCCTTCTCTGTACTGTTGCCAATATATTAAGCCCTCAGCCTTATACTGAAAATATTTCAGCCATAATTACAATATGCAACAATTGCCTATCAGGATCTGAATCAACAGTTCTTCGATTTCTGCCCATTTTATATTTACATTGAAGGCACTGGGGTAAAATGCTATCCATTCAATGACACCAAGAACCAAAGAGCATAAAGCGAATTAATCCCATGAGTAGCATTTTGTTTTTGTTTTCAGGTTTGAAGGAATTAATATAGTCTATGTTCCATTAAAATAACCTTTCTACATTAAGATCCTTTATTGATCATGGATTATTTATCTCATTCCATTGTTCTATTGCTAATTTTTTAATTTAAATAATGGAGATGGTTGTTTTAGCCTCATTTTCATATATAAAACTACACACAAATCAGGGAAAACCAAGTGATTTTGAAATGTTTTGGACAGCTATAAACACAGCAAGAAATCTCCAGCTGATTTCCAACTATGCTTTAAGTTTTACTAGGGACTTGTGGACAGCAGATTTCTTGTGCATCAGTAGCTACGTGATGGACCTATAGCATCTGCTTCTGATGATAATGCCTGCTAAAATACTCTTTTTTATAGTAGTGAAGGATTTGAAATAAAACAGCTAGGGAGAACAACTGAGGGGAGGCTGCAGAGAAGAATACAATTTAAAAAGTGTTATTTAGAACATTTCTGGCTGTAAATGTTTAAACCCTCAAGTTATCTGTTAATTAGTGCAGACTCCTTTTTGCTTAAGCAACTATCTGATCTGACAGGAGCAGTGTGGTACATTTGCACAACTATTTACTAACTAGTTGTCTCTTTATCATCTGCCAGACTGTAGTTCCGTGACTCCTGTAGCAATCAAAGCTTGCTGTTGTGGTCTGCTTAAAGCCAGACTTCTCAGAAAAAGTTAGCATTTATAATCTTTATATAAAAATTATGGCACAGCGCAACTGAGTGGCACGTTTTCACTCACATATGCAAAAATGTGTATATACTCATTTTTTTCAACCAATACAGAAGATAATGTGTGCATCAGGAGACAGGCAAAAAAAGAAAAGATCCCTAACCAGTACCGCAGATCAGTTCTTCCTGCATCATGAAAAGACACTTGTACTTAAAACCACTCCGTTTTTCAAGTGAAATTTCAATAAGCTGACTGGAATCATGTTGTTAAACTGAAACCTCAATTAAACATAGCAATAAATCTTTAAAAAAATTATTCCAGAATGAACACTCCCTTTCCTTTCCCTGCTGTATGTGTAAGTGCCTTGGCTTGACACTTTGTTCTAAATATTCTCAAATGAAAGCCATTAAAAAAAAAAAAAAAGAGCTACTTTGTTTAATCCAATTCTTTTAGGATGGAGCTACCCCTGTGTTCTGAAGCTATTACGGCATTTATCATCCTGGAATAAACCTTTTAGTTCTGTAGGAATCAAGATCCGTGATGTACTTTTGAGACTGAATGTGGTTTTGAGTAGGTAGATTACTCATTGAGGTCATCACTAATTAAGGTTTTAGTTTTGTGTGTCTTAGAATTCTTCATCATCACCTTACTGGCTCCTGATTATCAGCTCCTCCCCTTGCCCCCTGCTTGAACAGCAAGCCCAAATAGAACTTCTGCAGGAAGCCTGCATGAGACACTACTGAGACTGCTCCAAGGACAAAACACTTGTCATTTCCCACTTCACAGAGAGATTTTAAATCTCTGCATGACCTTCAGCATCCATATACAACATCTATAATTCACCCTCCTTTCATCAACATACACTCTAATTACAGAAAGTTACCAGAGAGGGTCAATGACGGATGCAAAAAAGAAACATGTAGTGGTCCAAACAAGATTTCCATCTTCCATGTAAAATTTTACCACCTTCTCCTTCCCTGACCCACCATCATCCACGCCTCTTTGCATTTCATAAAGCCTGGTGCCCTATATCTCAAAAAACACCTTTCTAGTCGATCAGGTAAGCGATATCAGTGGCTATAACAACACAAATAAGCATCAAATAATTACAATTACAAAAAAGAGGGCAGCACATTTGTAAGCTTAAAAATAAAAACTTTTACCTCAGTTATAATTCTACTGGCAGTTGCATTCCAACTTTCCAGCAATATGGAGTAAGCAAAAATCTCTGGTTAGCAGAAATACTGCATGAACAGCAGCTTCATAAGCAAATTCTAGAATGTCTTCTGTGAGGCACATGCTGCTAAAGAGAGCCCAGGTTTCTAAATTTCAAGCCAACTAGACTTTTCAAGACTTGAAAATAAGTTCACTTTCATAGTTTAGAACCAGAACAAACCATGTCCAAACTACATGTTCAAATTTTTATAAAAATTAAGGTTTAACATTTATTTTACATCTAGCTTTCCACATCCATGTGGGGACAAGGAATCAGAATGTACATAACTATAAGCAGTGCAAAAGTGGTGCCAGTGAGAAGTCACAGATGCACAATAAAGTGATAGTACAAGACTAGAGAAAATTAAGCTATGGATGTTAAGAATGGAGACCAAAAAATTAAACAAGAAAAAATATGAAGGAAGAGGGCAGGGAAGAGGAGAGTCGGATGTTTAATAATGCCCTTGTTGCTGCGAAGATAAACTAATGGCACAAGACAATGTTTCTTGTAGAACAAAAATCCAATAGCAATGAGTCTTTATTCACGTTTAGTCACCTGACATGAAGAAAGTGTCTGTTGCATTAAAATAGTCATCAATGTAAATGGCAGCATGGCTGAACAAGTCTTTTTCAATGGTAACGAACATCCCACATAGTAAAGTCACTTCAACACAGCCTCATGACAATTCCCACATCAAAACAGTACTTTATTTTATAATTTTTTTTGCCTCATCATTACTCCCACATTAAGATCTTTCAGTTGTCAAGTGTACAAGGTGAAGGAAAAGGTTCTCAGTCAGCAAACGCGGGTGCATCAGGAAGTATCTCCACAATACACCACTTCAGATCTGCTGGGTCCCAAGTCCATCCGTGAACGCTGGGCTCCCAGCACCAAGTGTAGCACCCTACTACGGCTACACTGCTATGTTAGCTTATTAATTCTGCATACATCAGGCCGAGCAATGTGTCAACCTGCAACAGACTGAGCATTATAACTGAAAATGGCAAAAGATTCACTCTATTGAACTTTACATCATTATTTGATGTTAAACAATGAGGCAAATGCCAACAGTATATACAAAAACCAGCTTTGCTTTTACAAAAGATTTTGTTTCCCATATTGATTAATCCAGGCAGCTAACTCATTGGTTTATGCAACTTTATTGAAGAAAATAAATCAATTACTAGTAGAGCTATTAGTTGATCACTCATCCATTGACAACTTGCATCATTTATTCAGTGCTATATTAAACAGTGTTTTGGAAGACAGATTAACTAATAGCTCCAAGCCTCCTAACAAAATTTAAATGAATTACAAAAATGTTCTTAAACCCTATTTTGGAATACAAGGGATGTTTGACTTCCAATTTCCATTCTCTGTAAAACAAGAACTGGTCATTCCTTTATTGACATGCATAAGATACATCACATTTTCTGTTCTGCTGATGCTATAGATTCAGTACCAATTCTCCAGACACATCAGTTATGAGCAAAAGTAAATAATAAAACCTCAGTTCTCTAACACTGGAAGGTTTGGAACAAGATGGATGTTGCTACAGCAATGTTACTTCTTTGATGGGAGAAAACTGAACATCCATCTCCCCTCCCCCCTTCAGGTGATATCTTCAGTATCTGTTAGAGCAGTGAGGAATGTTTGTTTTTAATCTCATAACCAAGTTAGAATGAAGACATTGGCCACATAATACACATGCTCCATTAAAAAAAAATTCTGAATCTTGGGCAATTGTTCTTGTGTAACTACTTTACAGATTCTAAAAGCAGTTATTGTCCAAAGCTGGAAGAACTAAAGTCTTCTCAGATGAGCATGTGCATGAATGGAAGGAGGTAAACAAAAAAATAAAAAAGATGAGGTCTGATAGGGGAGCAGCCGGATAAGAAAATCAAAAAAGGAACAGTAATTTAAAGTTTATTCCAGCTATAATGCAGGTTATTCTGACTTTAAGGTAGCATCACATGGCGTACTTCTGAGTCCATTCCCGAGATATTCTGTTGTACCTGCAAACAAAAACAGGAAATGAATTAATGTCAGCATGAAAATAAAAATTTCCTAAACAGTTTATGATTAAGTATAACTTTATCCCTATCTCCCTATTCTCTTTACTACAAGAACTCTCTTTCTGTACTAAGATACACCTGAACTGAAAAAACCTGAACAATTCCTTCTGTAGACAAATTAGGATATTCTCTAATTTTAGGAAAAACTTGAAATTCATGACAAGCAAATTTGCCAGAAGTCTGTTGTGAGAAAATGACTGAGGAAGGAATAAAGACTATCTGGGATGGGAGATGCAAAGGGAGGATTTTGTTTAAATATTGCTCTTAGGTAAGATTACACTGTATCACATGCCATAAGTAAAGATTATTTGGTTAATAATATCATTGGATACAGAACATCAAATTTCCCATTTTAAAGAAAAACAACACTAAACATTTCTTCACACTTAATACTCTCTTTCCACACAAATACACTGCTCAAACAATTTTTAAAGGACATTGAAGTGCACTACTTCCACAGGAACTGAACTGACAATTAGTTTTCACTTAACTCCATGCTTGTCAGTAAGAAGTTAATTTTCAACTATACAAGCAGAACATAATCCCCATATGTTTTCCTACTTTATATGTGGAAGACAGACACTGCTGTATAAAAAAAGTTGAAATTTGGATTGTCTAAATTCACCAATGTCTCTTCATGAGGTCTCGCTACATGCATCACTTTGAACCAAATTCTGACAAAATCTGGGTAAATACTTACCAGAACAAGTTGACAAGCTGGCTCAGAACTCAGTAATTATTTCATACTAACTTTTCTTTTGGGGCCATGCAAGAGCAGTAGTTGTGAGAAATAGTGACTAGCCACTATATTACACACTAATCACAGATCAAGCTGTTAAATTTCCAGGTTCAGTAACTGGTGCATCCATTATCTGTTAGTTAATCCAGTGCTTAGAGCATGCAGCACCCAAGTGCTGACAAATTTCCATTTTGTCAAATGCACCATAATGTGCAGATATCCTTACCCTACAGCATAGCGTATTTCTCTGTCCACTCTCTTGCTAACCTATTGTACCTAATTGGACAAATGTATTTAGCATTAATATATATATGAAAAAAACAAACTAATAATTCTATCTGTGCAAAATGTTAAAAGTACCTCAGGAAAATAAAGTTGTTGCAACACAGATAGGAAAAAAAGTTCTGCAGCCTGTTTTCAAGGGGAGCACCAAAATTATAAGCCAAGCTGCTGCCAAATGAAAGCACCAAAAACACGCAGCTATCTTTTCTTCATTATAAAGATCTAACTATACTCTATTTATGTGCAGTAAGCAAAAAAATGGGCAATATATACTGTAAAATACTTCCCCACATGAGAAAAAGATAGTCTCCTTCACCCACAACTTCAAAGCTGCTCAGCTCCTCTGTTTTTAAATTATGCACTACCAAGAATAGTCGCTTCTCTGACACACGAGTTCCCTCCATCTCGGATTTTCACAAAAGGCTCACTAAACACAACTGCTGTCTGACAATGCACTCTTACAAAGCCTGTTAAAGTACTAGTCTTGTGCAACTCTGTACTTACTTGTCTCTGTCTGTTTTATAGATACGTGCAATCTCTGGCACTAGTGGGTCATCTGGATTTGGATCGCATAACAGTGAACAAATGGATAAGAGAACTGTAAAAAAAAAAAAAAGCATTCTCAATAGCAAAACAGGAGCAACAATCTCAAACAATGGAACACAGATCTTTACATGAGCACAATGTCAGCACAGGAGAGAACCTAAGAAGTATTTTCCTGATAAACAGCCAAATATATCTGTAACTTGCTCTAAGTAAAAAGCCCAGAATAAATTAAAAGTTTGTAAGAACTATTTGTTTCCTATTTCCCAATAGTTACAGCTGTCAGTGAGCACATGAGAACAGCACTGTTGTCCCCTGCACTATGATGTAACATAGCAGCCAACAAAAGCACATTATGTACTCTGATGACCAGCATATCCATGGTTTTCATCACTAACACTAGAAAATCTTCAAATTTAAATTTATTTTTTTTCTAAATCAGACTGACTTCTTTATCTGTTGCATGTAAGGTAACAACACCCTGGTCTGCACTGAATAAAACTACATGTATGTTGTAAAAAAGAGTAACACTGTTGTAGGCAACTAAGGCAACTATGAGGACTTCATTTCCTACTCTCACAGCAGTTTTAAAGGAAAACAGTGAAGCATTAAAATATAGGGAATCCACATTCAAATCACAAACTGACTCCTTGGACAGACAGGATTTACAAGTTCTATAGACAAAAGGTCTCTGATGGATCTTTTGAAGCCATAGAGACTAGTGGCTTTGAGGCAAAACAATTTGATCATCATGAAAGTATTTGAGAATTATCTGTTATTTACTATAGTAAAATGAGGAAAGCTAAAAATCTTCTATTGCAACACAACATCAATTTATCCTGACGTAGGATCAGAAAGTTTTGTTCATGATGTAATACAATGCCAGTGCACAGTGGCAGAAAGCAACATATATAAAAACCAGTTTTATTCATCTACCACAGATATGTCAAGATAACTCTGCATGTTATTCTAGACATTCAAAAAATATGCAAATTTCATTATTAAAAACTGACTTTAATTTAATCTTTAATTTAATATGCACGTGTGTATCTACATGGACAGCTGCAAACAAGCAGTTTCTCAGCCTTAGCTCGAATACACCACCACAGGCCTAATTCAATCCAAATGCTGGCAGATTCCTCTGGGACCAATGAAGCAAACTCTGCTAATACTGAAGCAAGTGGTCAGACAAGGCCTTGAACAGCCGTGTAGCAGAAGGTGTTAGAAAAAACAGATATCCACTAAAAATGCAGTAAGGCACCATTATCAAACTAAAAGCACAGTATTCAGTACAAGTTGGAAACATTTCTCGTTCATGAAAGTTACCTTTAGAAATAGTTAAAGCAGGAGACCACTGTGATCTGAGAATATCAAGACAAATGCTGCCATTACTGTTAATATTTGGATGATAGATTCTTGTTGTAAATGCAACCTGCAACACAAACCAAAAAAAAAAGTGTTTTGGTCTACGATGACAATGATGGCATCCTTTCTTCTCAGTAAAGCTTTTAGTCAATTCAATTTACTCTAAAAGAAAAGGATCAAGCAGTTAAACTGCACCAAATTCAGGGAAATGCGCCCAAGCCACAATCTCTCAGTCTCCCATTACCAGGCACTATTTCAAACAGAGCAAGGGCAAGTACAAGGCTGTGTTTTAATCACAGCTGCCTGCATGATGAAGACACTCAACAGAAGTGCCTGAACCACAGTAACAGTGCTGTCACACAGCTAAGGAACTTCAAGTACTGCAGTCACTCCAAGGGTACATTTTCATATTGACTGAAAATTGGAAGACAAAGGCAGCGGCTGATAAAGCTACCAAAAAAAGAGCATATTTTGCAATTACTGTCAAATTCTAACAGATAACCTCTTCACCCATTTGAGGCACTCAGCAAGTTAATCCCTACCCATAGTGTCACATTCCTACAGACCAATCCAAACAACTACACTAATACTTGACAGTCACCTCAGCGAGAACTCTATTATAGTAACACTGAATAACACTATAGTAAAGCTAATGAGTTTTCCTATCAGTTAAGAAAACCAGAAATAACCCCAGATATCATTCCAAGACATTCCAAATTCATACACATGGATTTGCTCATAAAATATATGCTAACACACCCATTCTTGTGGTAGTTAGAATGGGACCCAGACATCTAATATACTGTAAGAATGTGTGAAAAGAAGTGAGAACTGGACAATATTACAACACCGAGACTGACAATTTCTGTCCTGTACTCAGTTCTTTAAAAAGCACTAATTTCATAAATTAGAAAGCAATACCTACCTTAGGTGGTTTGAATGGGTAGTCTGTAGGAAAGTGAATTGTCAAGAAGAATACACCACCCTGATATGGACTGTCGTTCTGTCAAAGCAAACAAATAATTCTCCTATTATCATCTTTAGGACTAAATACCACTGAAGATCTTGTTTTTAAATAAATAAAAGGAGAGGAAATTTGTTTAAACAACTCAAATGTTTAGTCCACCAGTACAAGAGAGATGCAATTAAAATTCAGTTACTACTTCCTAAGGTAAGCGATACAGAATATATACAGATCACTTTCTGTATGGATCTCTCCAAGCTAGTGCTTCATAAAAAAGAGTTTCTCTGACAATCCACTCAAGATTACTTGGCAAAAGCATTTAAATGCTTCTGAGATAACTCCAAAAAGTAATGTTAACAGAGTTCATCAGATTCAAAATCCTCCAGTTCTGTGTTTGGAGCTTATTTGTTATGACAATCCAGGTGTAGAGTGGCCACGGACTCCCATTCCCTCTTTAAGTTCTGTCCTTAGCTTAGGCATTGCTCAGCCCTTCAGAAAACCTCAGAATACACAGCTAACTCCTTGTTCCTTGGAAAAAAGAAAACAAAGACCCCAACAGAAAAAACAACAAAAAACCCCCATCACCCTACCAGCACAACCAAACAGACCAAAAAAATAAAAGAAGATTCAAGTGAATTCTTCCTCCCTTTCTGTTTTAGAAATTCACTCTAATGTGGTATTGAATAGTATTTTACATTTCCTTTGTCCAAGGAAACAATTATGAGGATAATTCATTCAGGTGTCAACTATTAGCAGTAAAGCAACATGTGGCAGTAAAAAAGATGACAGTAAAACTACAACTAAATTTCTGAAATAGAGCTAACAATTTTATTCTTTAACCTGAAGACTACAATTTTATTCTTTAACCTGAAGACTACAATTTTATTCTTTAACCTGAAGACTACTATGCCTTTAATTCTGAATTCAGGGCTAGGGAAAATGAATTTGAAACATACACAGTACCCTTCTGCATTATTTGTAAATTGAATTCTCATATTAATTGCAAAACATTTCACCAATGTAAGGAAATAACTACATCTTACTTAAATACCAGAAAATGACAATCTGCAACGCAAAACAAGGGATTCAAACCTGCCAACAAGTAGGTTATAACCCATATCCAATCTCTGATGAAAATCTAGTGATCAAGATATAACCTCTTGTACTTGGTTAAGAGATACCATGTGAGGCCTTGAGGAACCAAAAAACCAATCCTTTTACTGCACATATTCTGGGGATACATTTTAGCAAATACAGAAGCTCCTCTTAGAATGTGTTAAACCAATGCAAGCTCTCTTACACCTATCCAAGAAAATCAGAGCCTGTAGAGGTGGAAGACCAGATGAGTGGTTCTACAATCCTTGTTGGTTATTAAAGACAACACCACAGGAGCACAAAAACTACTAACACCACATTTCTGTCAGGATACTGCCCGATCTGGAAACAGGAACACAGACCACCTGACACCACAAAAACCACATGGGGAAAAAAGGAGCTGTACATTATTAAACCAGAACCGGAAACTAAAAATAATAATCTCAATTTAAATTCAACCAATGTTTAATACCTCATGACCATGCAGACACCAGTCACACAGATTCATCATACCCAGTATAGTGCAAAACACTCCCAGCCATTTAAGCACGAATATAGCTATTGAACAATTCTGTCTCTTTGAGGTACCTAGTTACAATCGATGAGGACCAGGTACTTTGGGAGGAAGAGATATTTTTCCAATCAGGTGAACCTCTAATAAGCACGTTTTCCATTGTGGTCTCCTAATAACACACTTGTAGCTATAGAGCCGGGGCCATTCAGTATCACTGATATTTAATTCCTACTTTGTAGCCTCACCAGAAGCATCATATTGTGGCTGCAGGTCTACTGGAATCCGCTATTTGTCTTCGCAAGTTACACAAGGTTTTGTTTTTTCAATACAGATAACCAGCCCTGAGAACTCCAGATGTCAAGTGTTTCCATGTTATGTTTTCATTAAAGGCAAACGTTTTGCTTCCTTAATGAGGAAAGAACCACATTCAGGTTTCAGATGCTTATTGAACATGTAAAAAAGATTTTTTTCCTCCAGTCATAACTAAAACCTCACATTTCAGTGAATTTTTCCCCTTCTATCCTTCAAGTATTCCAGATCTCAGAGTATGACACCAGACCAAATAAGGATTCCTTGCTCTAAGATCCACACAAAAACATCCCAACTAATTCCTGACATTAGGAACAGCTCCTCATAAAGTCCATACTAGATTCAAACTTTGGAAAAAGTTAAATGCAAACACAGTTTCTAGATATGAAGTGATAGTATATCTAACATTGCTCTAGAAATCATCTCAGCTGAAATATGTCCTCATAAAACACTGCAGCAACGAATTAATTAATTTTTTTCCCCTCCCTCATTTTCTGCTACTGTAAGAAACACCTCTAGAACTAAAGTCAGATAAGGAGAGTTTAAAAAAAGAAAAAGTAAATCAACCCCCCCCAGTTTTTTTCTCAATAAGAACTACTCACTTAATATTACTTCACAAGAATTAGAATACTTACAGGTCCCATAATTGTGGCTTGCCAATGAAACACTACAAAAGAAAAACTCCGCATTATTATCTATGCATGATATGCTTTGACTTAGCAGAGCAAAACAGAAATCTTAAAGTTACTTACTGTCATCTCCAACGGGACCTGCTGAACACTGTGCTGGAGGATCACGGGCTAAGTCACTAAGTTCCTTTAGGAAAAAAACAAACAAAAAACCATACTGTTCAGAGCAGAAACACGAACAGAGTAATTTTCACTTCATGTCTAGCAAAAAACTTTAACAGTTTTTCCATATACAGACACAGGAGAATGTGCAATTAACAACTATTAGAACCACTAGATCAGTATAAAAAATGTCTTTATAAAAGACAACAAGCACAAAAACCAGCTATGAAGGTGAAGAGCTACAATGACTGTACTTTTCCAAGTACTACCATAAAGACATTCCTGTTGAAGAAAGGAGAACAGGACACAAATCCTGAAGTAGGCAAAGTTTAACCACTTTCTGACCAAAATTTCCAAGGACTCAGTCTTAGCTAGAGAAGCCTGAAGTGGAAGGAGGGAAAGCTATTGATGAGTTTTGATGAGTTTTCATGAAACAGAAAGCATTATGTATGTAACATCTGACATTAGAACTCAGAACAGAAACAAAAACCCCCACTGAAACTCAGTTTCACTTTAACCACTACCTCCAGCAGGGATCTATCTTGCACAGATTAGAATAGACAGGAAAATTCAAGAGGCTGACAAGTGCTGGAATCAGGAAAAATAACTGTATTTTTTATTTCAAACTTCACATTTAAGGCAATTATGCCTTTAAAATTCAAAATAACTGAGCTGTAGAAACAGTTCCCTCCCCCACTCCAGAGGGAATGAAAACAGAAACTTCAGATGGAGGATTCCTTGTGTAGTAACAATACCGCTGTGAGGAATCAAAGAAGCTCTGCATTAATTTGTTTTAATGCTCCACAAGTCATTTGTTTGGACAGTGTGTTTTAAAACTAAATTTACACTTTCAGTTAAAGCAAGTAACAGCTACTTTCTTTCTTCCCTGCTCTCCTTTGAATCTAAAAATGGCTTCAAGAGCCTCTATAAATCTGCATTTGTCAAGGTATCTAGAAGTCATGGGAAAAGGCAAAACCTTCATCCCTTCTTCCATATCTTAACAGCGCCACACCAGTTTTTTTCCTGCAAGTCTCTAAAAGTCATTAAAACAAAAACTTTGTCAGACACTGAAGAAGCCCAGGCACACCTATAATGCTGGAAACACATGCAGATTGGGACCGTACAGCTAACTTTGTCTGGGAAGATCCTAACGTGCATCCTTTATGTTTCACAAATTCTGTACTTTACATTAAAAAAACCCCAAACCCAAAACCAACTGAAAAGCCCCAAACAACAAAACCACCCCACCCAAACCCCACACCAATCCCCTTCCCCCAAAACACCAAGAAAATTTAGTCACAGATTTCCCCTTCCTACATGTGTGAATTCTGATGAACTTTCCAAGTAACAAGACTTTGGTTTTGCACTGCAATCAGACTTGTTTTACAAAATGAGATTGTATCAGTTTTGATAAGCAATGGCACAATGAAATTAATATTACAGTTCATTTCACTGCTGCTGTTACTTAAAGCGTGGGCAACAGCTCTTTCCAGATCATCACAGTAAACACACTTAGAATACATTTCTCTACACTCTCCAGTAACTACTGAGGGTCCCTTATTTCTATGAAATATCACTCATTAGGTCCATATGTAAAAGAAGTTTCAGATGGAAAGCTTCTAAGAATGATCAATCATTTCAAAAATCTGAGAAGAAAAAAAGATATCATGTTCCTTAAAGTAAGCTATAGCAATGAAATAAGGAGATAGACACAAATATTATTTTAATGTAGTTGTATAGTTACTACTGCATTCTTTGATTTAATCCTGGAAGAACATTTAGATCCTGTTGGTTTTTTTACTATCACACAGACTAAGAACTATGAAAAGGCTCTTCATGCAGTTTATGAAAATTAGGAAATTGAGTAGCATGAAGACAAGGATGAGAAAAGATCAGCATAAAGTGGACTGTCAGAGGTATGTGCATTAGACTAGAGAGCTCTTCAAAAGGTACTACCGTCTTCAGAGAAACAAGAATTCAGTACTCAAGATAAAAATAGATATTTTAACAGCAGGAGAATTAGAGTATGTCAATAATTCAACTAGGAAAAGATAAGTAGCATTACAAATATAAGACATAAATTTATTAAGTTCCAGTGAAAAGTTTGTGCAAAAAACCCTTTGGTCGTACTAAAAATAATTTAAAAGCTGAAACAAACAAGTTTGAATATTCCAGACTCTAGTAATTTCAAAATATATGTCTATACAGAGTTACTGCTTTTAACTACTTGAACTGTTCTAGCTGACAAACAAGTAGTGACCTTCATTAATGAAAGGACTAAAGTTTCTCTGGCCCAAAACACTTCAGCAAAAAAAAAAAACAAACACCTAATTGTGCTAATCAAAGCAGTTCAATATACAGATAATTTTAGGAGCACATGATACAGCACCTAGCATTTCACCCACAGGGCAAGAAATTCGCCCACTAAATTTGGAAAGGAAAAAAGGCTGAGGTAGCACACTCTTGTATTTGCTTCTCTTGGGTACTATGGTCAGAGGAGTAAAGTTTGTAGTAGAGCTGTTTGCTTCAAAGGAGTGTGAAAGGCTGTGGAAGAACTTGGGCAAACATGAAGCAAACCCTGGCTCACAGTAACACCAGACCTCCTTCGCCTGCCTGTTAAGTGAGAGACACTTCACATCTACACACAGAGGGGAGGCTTTTTGTCACAAGGGAGCGGAAAGTTCTCTCTTAGTAACTTTAAAAAGTACCTCCTTCTGAAAGCTACAACTCTGCTAAATCCAACAGGCAAACTGGAATAACTGGAAACTAAACAAGCAGAGGCATGTGGGCTGTGATATCTGGAGTGCAGTTGAAGTATTTTGTTGAAAGAAAAGGAGGAGTTTTTTTTTTTTAAAGCTTCCCACTTAGTATAAATACAAACCTACTTTTCTTCTCATCAATCAGTAGCAACGATTCTATAAGAAAAAATATTTAATCTGAAAAACAGATCTGACACCAAAACTAAGCTTCATCATTTCCATGAGCCGATTTAAAAACATAATTTTTAAGAAATTACCTCATAACTGTTGCCCTCTTTTACCCATTTCTCACTAAGAAGGTAAAGACCACATTAAGTTTAATTTTACAAAGCAGAGTTTAACTAGTATTTTAGAATTAAAAAATGTTCCCAAGCACTGTTCTGTAGCATTTCTACATATAAAAGCTTTCTGCTATATTTCTTCTACTGCCATACCTACTTCTCCAACTTTGCTTCTTTTCATTCACATGGTATCAGTAGTGCTTTCCCTTTACAAAGAGGTATTAAGCTACATCCCAAACCTTCTTAAAAATCCCCAAAGTAGAACCCACATTTTCCTGGAGTCAGTCATTACAGTTTTTCACTTTTTAGGTGATTTAAAAAAAATAAAAAAAACTCCCAAGAAGTAAATGTGAAACATGGGGACAATAAACCAAATTTGGTACGGAGTGACATGCTATTGCCTATCGGAAAGGATTAGTCTTGAATTACAACCATGACTAGTAGTCTCTGTCACTGCCAGAGGTTTCCGGTATAGCTCCAGCATGTCACCATTTCTGTGTCCCAGTTTCCAAATATAAAGTTGCAATAGCTCCTGCTTCTCCACCAGGATGATTAGTCACTCAGCATTTTACAGGTTTAAACACTGTTTAAGGAGTAAGCACCAATGCTACTGTTAGAGGACAACAGCAACGTAACACAGACAAGAAGCAATACATGTACAATTTTCTAACAGTTTTGGAAAACAGGGATAACTAGAAATATGGCAACAGTACCTGCCACTGCAACAGTTAGATCTGCTTTAACATAAATTCAGCACCATTGCCTTCTGCCAGTTTCACATAAAGTTTCTAGCAAGATGCAGTTTCATTGGTGAAACAGCCCCATTCTTAATCTCCTCTCTTCTCTTTCACTGTACATTAGAAAGCTAGTGAAAACCCAAATCAGTACTTTCAAAAATATGCTTATAAAGGCTAACTAATCTGCTTGTTTTGCAGAAATATAATTGTATATAACATAGAAAACATGGCTTATGCTTCAAGTGATGATTCAAAACATTGACATGTGAGTGCTAATGCAGGACTATGATTCTGTTACAAACCACAAGTGTCTTTTTTGACAGAAAAGCTGCTAAAAAGACCCTCAAACAATAATTTAAAGAACAGTAAGGGATATCTCATCCAAATATCCAGGTGCAAGACAACAAAAGCTTTCAGGTCTCAGCAAATTCTGTAAGAAACGACAGCCGGGTGCCTACCAAGCTGCCTTCCTGCCATGTATCAAACAGACCAACATCTGTACTGGCTGCTTTTCTTCCCCTTTGTCAGAATTCATACTGTCTGTGGCACTACTACTACATGTTTCTAGTTTAAGCTAGAATAGCCAGGCCTTGATTTTAAAGGCACTAGCAACTAACGAAATACAGGGTGGCAGAAGATCACTCCCACCAGTGACTGAAGGTTGTCCTCCAAGAGCTTAAACTCAGTTACATTTAACATTGGTTTGCAGAGATTTAATATTGGTTTGTAACACAACTACTTGTAAAAATCATAAATTGCAGCTTTCTGGTTTGTAGTTGAAAAAGCATATTGGAAAAAATGGAGTTAACTTGCTTTAATTTTCCAGACAATAACTTGTTCTATCTTGGAAGGCCATGAAAGGTGATATGCAGTTAAATCAGAAATTAAAAAAAAACAACAACAAAAGAAAACAAAGAAAAACCAAACCACAAACAAAAGAAAACAACAAACAAACTAACTAAAGAGAAAAAAGAACACTTAGGTCAATAAAAAAAAAAATCAACCTTTATTAACTTGACTGCTTGTCTAATGTTGTATCAAACAGGATATTTCAAACTCTAAGCATCCCAAAATTCATCACTGCATTAGTTTTACTCATTAGCTCACAGCTGAAAACAGCTTTAAAAAAGAAGGAAGGATTGGAAGCAGCTATAAAGGGAGGGGAAGAACATTTAAGCCTGTTTGAAGATTAAGGAGTGTCAAGCAGCAAAGAACTACTGCCTCATCCCACACACCTGCATTTGAAACATTTGTTTCAGCATGGAAATTAATTACCCCTGGAAGCAGAAAATAACATTTTGAAAGGACACT